CTGAATCATGTTGAACTGTGGAGGCAAACGGAGTAAAGGAGAAGAAGAAACCCAACCCCCCAGATGGGATGTTTATAACTGCTCACAGTTGAGAGCTTATAACGGGGTCAGAGCAGGTATTCTCAGCGTGAAATTTCACTTTGTTAGGTTTGTGTGAGTGATTTCTTTCTTCCTCCTTAAGTAAGTTTCCAGCCCTTCTCGTTAAAAAAATAACCTTTTTGTCCCTCTGCATAGGAAAGACATTTCACAAGGAAGAAGTTCAAAAATGTTTAAAGATATAGGAAAGAAAAAAAACACCGAGTGCCTTCTTCAGAAAATCTGATTTTTGGCATTGCAAATGGCACAAGGGGAAAGTTTCCAGGAGCTGAGAGTCAGATGGGAGTTGAGTTTTGATTTTAATTCCATACATCCATTTTATACACTACTAAAGTACATAAAAATTGTTTCAAACCTTTGACCAATACAAATCCCAAGATTATACACATACATGATTAATTATCAAATAAGATCACTGAGAGGCTTCAGAAGAAAACTGGAATGCCAGACTGACTGGTTAACTCAGTCTGGGAAAGAGGAATAGGAAACGTGCACCAGTAGGAGTCAATGATACCTTCAGCCTCTGTAAAACAGAAGGCGCATGCAACTTGCTGTGCTTTCTTAGGAAAGCAAGAGAGCGAGAAGCCACAGCTGAAGGATGATCAGTCTGGATCCAAAAGCCACACAGAACCCTAGCAGACAAGAAAATAACTTCCATATGGTAGGATAAAAATCTACCCTCACAAATAAAAAGCCAGCCCAACTACTGTCTCTGCCTATTCTTAAGCCACCCAGCGAAACCTGGTCTGCTACGACAGGGAAATAGAAGTCTGATTCCTCAACAGGCTCCAAGAGTTCCTACAAAAGATTATGAGCCTCTTAGAGTTTTTAATAAAATCTTCCACCAAACTTTTTATTAACTCAGAAACAAGATGTCAGTACAGCAGCCATCAGACCCACTAAGCTGGGAAAAAAAAAAAAAAAAAAAGAATTTTCCCCAGCCATAACTGGCATATTCCTTTTGCTTCAGTGGCAATTTCCATCTACTTTCCTGTAACACAATTTTCTTCTTTTAGTATACACATACCGTTAATGACTTGACATATCAGTATGTTAGTAATCAGCACAGGTAAGCTACAAACTACTCCCTGCTGAAAGACTAGTCAAAATCCCAAGTTCGAACCAGCCTGTGTCCGATAAGAGCATCAAGAAAATTGATCTTTTCTCACTGGAAAATCTTCTATCCATTTCTCTGAAAATTTCTTATGATGTGTTCCTAGCCCTCTTCAGTAGTTCTCATTTTTCTTCATTAAGTCTACATTAACAGAACTTTATAAATATAACTTTTTTAAAAAGGAAAAAAATCACAAAGATACTTATAAAATAAAGATTTATGTAGGTGCAGTCAAACCAGAAATATTTTAACTTAAAGGGTGTAAGAAATTCCACATTTAAACACAGGTGAAAATCTAAAATGCCAGATGTGAAGAACTAAGCAAAGGAATATATTCCAAGCCTGAGACACCACCTCTCAAGTCTCATTCCCCTTCAAATTATTAGGGGCAATTTATAAGCCCCTGGAAATCAGCTCCCAGAGAAATGGTCTTAAAAATCAAAACATCAGTATTATTGTTTAAATACAAATCTGTGTAATATTTCTGCAACCCTGGTTTTATTTATCCTTTAAGACCATACTGTGCCTTGAGACGATTGTGAAGGATGCCATAGGAGGCATATTATAGTGCAACTCTCGGTGTGCAGCTTTTAATAGTATGGTAGTAGTATGATTATAGCTTTCTAAAAGTAACCTCCAATTGAGAAATCATTTAATTTCCAGGTTGACACAAGTATTCTTCCTCATATTACATCAGTCACTTATGCTGCAATACTAAGTCTACTCCATTTTCTTTTTTCTTCTAATAGGTTGTGGTTTTTCCTACATATCATATTTACAGCTCAGTTTTTCCTGTAGTACCATGAACTGGACAGTTCCATAAAAAACAAGATTTCATCAAAATCCCCAGTGGTCTGTTACAACTAGTTCCTGAAGAGATGAATGAATTCTAAGGAGGCAATGAAAAAATGCATATATTTCTCTTTTGTAAAGTTGCCAAGTCTCTCTCTTTGCATGGTTACTACGTCTATGCATTATTAAAATTCTTTGTTTAAACTCTGGATTCCCCTTATTATGAAGCACATTTTAGAAAGTAAATCTTGATTAACCAAAATAAATACACAACGTCCATGTTTAACAAATCTACCTGTCCGCTGCTACTTTTCACTGAATTTAAGTTGACTTTAATCAGTCATTTAAAGATGATACGTACAATTTAAAAAAAAAAAACACCCACCAAAACCACATTGCTAAGGAGCCTAATTCTATTTATGAGGAAACCTGGGCTATGAATTATTTTGTCACTTAGAAGAATTCTTCTGAATTGCCCTTCTACCCTTCTGTTTATAAAAATGGTCACTTGCAAAGGGGGCTGATACCTCTGCTCTTGATTTCCTCATGTAAAAATGCACTACAGTAAACAAAATCTTCCAATGTCCTTGCTCTTTCACAAGTTTCTGATTGGCAGCACTGAAACTAACCCAAATTGTATCAGCTTCTACCTGCTGCATGGAAAAGCTGGACTTGAAGTCTTACTTAGAAAGGTCCCCCACTAAAAAAAAAAGAATAGAAGAATGGAGAAAGAAGGATAAAACCGTGAAGACTCCCAGAGAGGCTACAATTTAGGGTTAAAAGTAG